CTAGTTCCTAACTGCTTCTAATAGTATATATTAGTAGATTTCAAGAAGTATCCAGAAAATAGAAATAAATATAATATAGTAGTAATTTTTATTAATTATCTAGGCAAGCGCCCTATTATAATTCCTATTCGAGATATAGTAATAGCTAAAAAATTAGTACCCCTATTTCTTATCTATATAGTTTATTAAATTAGTATCCCGGAGACTATAGTATCTAATTAAGGCCCCTAGTTTGTATTGGATTTCTGGAGCAAGTTCTATAAGTATATTAGTATAAAGCTCAAGTTATTAACTACTAACTATTCCTAAACTAATAGCTAGATAGAGATTATTAACTAGTACTTTAACTAATAGCTATATTCTTATATAAATTACTACTAAAATAATTAGAATAAATAGGTAATAATAATTAACTACTAGTAGGCAGCTCTAGTCTATAAAACTATAGGCCAATTCCCGTTTCTTATAGAGAAAGGCTATAAACCGCAGATATTATTTAACTAGAAAACCCAAATATAATTAGATATCCTAAAAAAAAGAGCTAAATAGATAGAAGATAAAGGCCCTGGTAATATAGCTTTATAAATTATAATAAAAGATATAGGAGAATATAATATAAATATAAGAATATTATACTACTTAAGCTAATAAGTACTACTAACTAGTAGACTTTAAAGTAGGAAATAAGGTATGAATTACTACTAAATACTAGAAAAACAATTATTTGAGCTATAAGTTAGCTTACTAAATAAAAGAACTATATAAAATCCTGAAATAAGTAAGATATTTCTTTAGGCTCAAGCTTCCGGAATTAATAAGAATATATCCGGTATTCTATATAGAGAAGTTATATAAAGACCTAGATAACCTCTTTCTCGAATAAGTAAATCCGGAGCTTCTGCTATTAGAACTATAAGATAGGGAAACGGAATATAAAGTTTAAGAGATATAAGTAGTAAAACTACTTTATAGGAAGCTAAAATACCAAGTCTAATAAAAAGAATAGAACCCAGATCCGGAATAGTATTCTATTTCCTTATTAAGTAATAGTATTCTAGCTTTTTAGAGCTTCTATAATAAGAACTCCGAATAGCTAGAACCGCTCCAGAATCTCTTCTATTAGTTAGACTATACTAAGAATAATATATTACCGGAATTATATAATACGGACGGAAATCCTTTAAAGTTATATATAAAAGACTCTAGCCTTTAATATATAACCTGTAACTTGGAAATTTAATAGGGACTTTTAAAGCTTAGGGACAAGCTTACTTTAAGGGAAAGGGAGTAATATTATAGTTATTATAATATATAGTACTAGTAGAGATTAGACTAGAGCTAGAAAAACATCTGATATCTAAGTAAGGTATCTATAGTTACCTAATTATTATATATAACCCCGAGCTTAAGCTAGTATATAGGCTTATATATAGCTTATAATTATTTAGATCCGAGGCTTCTTCGGGATCCTCTTTTCTCTTTAGCTTTAAATTATTAAAATAGAGATAGTCTAACTATACTTTCTAGGCCCTAGATTTTATATTTATAATAATTAGATAGTAAGGCTAAAAAGAGTATAGGCGAAAATTCAATACCTTTACTATAGAGAATAACTATATTAATAGTTCGGTTTCTCTTACTCTCTTTTAAGTTTATAAAATAACTTGATCTGGATATTTATTTATTATTTTACTTAGAAGTAATTATTAGAATATATATATATTCTCGGAAAAATATAAGTTAGGCGGGGATATTACTTACTAAAGCAATTAGGTACTAATAAAAGTATATTATATATACTATAATATATAGTATTCCGGAATAATAGGCTCGGATATATTCTTTTTAAAAATATAGTATTTTATTAAGAATAAGGAAAAGAGAAAAAAAATTAGCTATAAAAGTACTATATATATTATAGCCAGGTTTTTAGAAGTAATAAGGCGAATTAAGGCAATATTTAAATAGAAATTCGTATTATACTTTTAAAGATTACTAATTCGAATTTAAATATATTTAATAAATCTTTACTATTAGTTACTAACTATTTCTCGGAATTTTATAGCCCATTACTAATTAAGGAAAGAAGAGCCAAGTATAATTGCTTTTATAAGGCTTGCTTTATATTTTTTTAATACCGGAAAATTACTTAAAAGACCTAGTAACTCTAAATTATCTTCTATTTTTGCCTCTTTTATTCCTTATATAAAGCAAAAACTACCTATAATAGTAGGAAATCGGGATTTATAGATAGATTTGAAATATTTCAGCCTTAATAGCTTTAAAAAAAAGCGACTTACTATTAGTAATATTGCGAAATTAGCTATTAAACGAAATAGTAAAATAGTTATTAATACCGGAAGTTCTATATTTAATTATAATAGTAATATTTCTTTTAAAAAAACAGTATTATAAAATATTAGATATTAGAATACAATATACTATTTTGGCTTCTTTAGTATTATAATATAAGTTAAGAGATCTATTATATCTCAACTATTTCTATTATCCCTATTAATATTTCTCTCTACCGAGAACTAGTTATATTGCTAAATTATATTACCTTAACTAAGTCCCCAGCTAATAATTTATCTACCGTTTTCTGCTTTTATATTATATAAATAGAATTTTGCTTATATACTAAGTCCCTTTAAGGGCCGACTCTAATGCAAAGAAATATAGAAGCTCTAGAATAGAGCAGAAAGCATAATAAGAGCCTGCTATTCCCGCCCGTAACAAGCGGGCCTGGCTTATCTAGCTAGAGAGATTTTAATATAGTATAAAGTATTAGAAAATAGGGTTAGGAAAATATAAATATTAAGAATTAAGAGCAAGCGATTCTTCTAACCTCGCTACTAGCCTATCTATAAGCAAGTTTCTTAATTATAGTACCGAGTATCTATAGAAGTTCTAAATTAATATTTACTTAAATAATACTTTTAGAGAAGTCTCGGAATTAAAATATTTAATATTAGGCAAAGAATAGTTCTAAAAATCTACTTACTATTTTCAGGATTCTATTATCCGTTAAATTAATACTATCTTTATTCTAGCTATTTTCACTTATCCAAGTAATAGTATTAATAATATCTTTAACTCTACCTTTAATAAGCTCCTCAAGTACCTCCTTAATATCTTCTTTATTACCGATTTGAAAGAACTATATACTAATTTAATATAGTAGTATATCTATTCACGCCCGTTTATTAATACAAGCGATTTGGGAATCGGGCGCTATTAGGGCTAAGCGAGGGGCCCAATTTACTAATAAAAAGGCCTAATTTTAAAATAATATATAACTTTCTAATAAAATACAAACGCCAAATTTTAATTAAATAAAAAGCATTAATACTTATAAGAAACTTAAATAAGTATTACCTAGATTAAATTCTATTAAAGATAAAAAGATTTATATAATTATATATTTTAAAAAACTATTTTATAAATAAAATTATATATAGTACTAATAAAAGGCTTTAGCTAAAATTACTTAAATAGTATTATTAACTAAATTATTTTTAGTAGATCCTACTAATAGAATTTTATTAATTTATTAATTTGAAAATATTATAATATTTTCAAAATTCGCTTGTATCCGACCTCGGATTTATAAACCGGAGCTCGCTTAAGTAGACAATTGAGCAATCGGGCCCCTCGCTTAGCCCCGATAGCACCCGATTCCCAAACCGCTCGTATTAACGAACGGGCGTAAATATATCGAGCTTATTAAGCTTTTTTATAGCTGAGAATAATATTACTTTAATATTATCCAAAGGAATATTATCCGTTAATATAATAAGATTAAGGGGCCTTATCTTCTTACTAATAGCTATCTTAGTTTCTAACTTTATTAAATACGGCTTCAAAATATTATAGATTTTGGTATTAGTAAAAGTTCTGCCTTATAGTCGGATTCTCGCAAAGATTTCGGTAATAATAACGGCTTTCTTAATACTTTTATATTTGCTAGTAGCAATATCCTTATTTGGGGAGCTACTATTAGTAAACTTATAGTTTATAAAGTAGAGATCTAAATTATTATTATTATAGGCGGAAATAATAGATGCAATAATAGCTAATGCCTGCGAGATTTTATACTAGCCACGGCCGGCTATTGTGGTACGGCAGGCCGTACTCGTCAAAAATCATGTTGTTTTGGCAGTTTTGAGGTTTAGGTCACATGGCAAAGGCCGCGGCCTTTTATACGTAACTTGCGGAAATCACATAAGAAAGCTGGTTTTTCTATAGACTTAGAGAACAATCCTTCATGAGTATTCAATTAATTGAGCTTTTGCACACTATACACTATTTATGCTTTACTATTTACGCTTTTGATTTGTTGTTTTGCTGTCAAGTCACGTTTTGCGCTCTGGTGTACTTTATGTGGGTTTTTGTCTTGTCGCAGTTTCCCTCCCACACTATGGAGCTTGAATTATTAATAGGGAGGATGGTATCGAAGGTCGTGAGGGAGGCGTAGGGTCTTCGCTACTTGGGTGGACGGTGGCTAGTATTGATATAGCGGGCGTTACGGGCGAGTATAATGACGAAGAAGGAGCCGTTAACTCAGATGGCAAAGCGCCGCGTGTTAGACCTGAGAAAGTATTTGGGGACGGCGTATATGCTGGAGGAGGCTCATTCATGCCCGGGCGGGAGGGGTTTGTGAGAGGAGCTTGAGGTTCTTGGCCCGTTGCTAAGGTGTTTGATCGAGTAAAAGCATTGCTACCCTTGCTTTCGCTGAGATTTCTCTTGCCGGACATATTTGCTCATTCTGGGGCATCAATCCAGCAATCGATGCTTCAGCCGTGGTATATCTTTACGTGTAGAGTTTTCAGATGTTTGTTTGGCGCAGGTGTCTCAAATTCGCTCGGAAGGAATTATGTGAGAACGAGAGAGTGAAAATTGGCGTGTTGGGGATCTACACTAGTCCTATTTGGGGCCTTGCTGACTCGCTTCAAATGCCAACGACCGTTCTATCCTCATATTATGGTCTTCGATTATCTCAAGCTTCTACGGCCATGAAAGATAGAAATGTTCGAATGAGGGTGACGAAAACCGGTTGATTTCGCGTCGAGCGCGGTAAGTAAGCACAACCCTCTATTCCCCCAGCTCCACTGCCCTTGGCGCTACTGACCCTCCCCTCTTCCCCTGAGGTTGTTCATTCTCCGCCTACCCCTGCTCTTCACGTTCGGGGTCTTCCCTTGGATGATTAACTATTGCTAATAATCTGCAAGCAAATGGATTCTTTGTGCTCAATTGCGCTAGCTCAAGCAAGAGTAAGAGGGTCAGCTCTGGTGGGATATAGACGGGAGGTTGCATTTTTGAACGGCTCTCAAAAATGTCGAAAATCTAGGCGGTGGATTTCTTCTATTAGACTTATCAACACTCACACTCTGAAGCTTGAGGAGCCCACCGAGGAGCCTCTACACTATGTCACTCTGTCGCACACTTGGGGAAAAGACGAGGTGACTTTTCAGGACCTGCAGAGTGGCAAAGGTAGGCGGAAGAAGGGCTTCGCCAAAATAGAAGAGACGTGCAGACTGGCACGTCTCCAGAATATTCCATACGCTTGGATTGATACATCTTGTATCGACAAGACGAACAGCACCGAGCTTACCCAGGCCATAAACTCTATGTTCAGGTGGTACGCGGATTCTACAGTGTGCTACGCATATTTTGACGATCTGGCACCCAGCGACAGCGTCCGAGATTACAAGAAGAAAGTGACTATGGAATTCGCATCCTGCCGGTGGTTTACTCGAGGCTGGACGTTGCAGGAGTTGATTGCTCCAAAAAAGATGGAGTTCTATGATCGCGAATGGGGTTGTCGTGGGACCAAGGAAGACTTAAGTGATATTCTTGAGGAGGCAGCCCGGATTGATAGAGAGTTTTTACGTGATAACTCGAGGCTATTCTCTCTTCCCGTGGCAACGAGAATGTCCTGGGCTGCGAAGCGGCAAACCACGCGGGATGAAGACATGGCATATTGTCTCCTAGGGATATTTGACGTTAATATGCCCGCAATTTATGGGGAAGGGACGAAGGCATTCGTCCGCCTCCAGGAGGAGATTGCGAGGCAGACCAACGACTTGACTTTGTTTGCGTGGAGACAGATAGAGGCCACTCCGCAGCAATATCGAGGCATATTGGCCCAATCTCCTGACGAGTTTGCGCATGCCTGGAGCATTGTACCAACCTCAGATCGCCGTTTCAACGAGGAGTTCAGCATGACAAACAAAGGACTCCGAATCAAGGCAGACCCTAGTCAGTCAGGTCGGGGAGACTACTTTCTGGGGCTAGGCTGCTCATATCAGAATGAACCAGATGAACAAATTGGGATATATTTAAAACACCATGGCGCAGGCCTGTACGCTCGTCAGCTGGCACATCTCCTTCCAGTAGACAAAGAGCCCCCGTCTCCTGCTGTAACGACGATCTATATCGACAAGCATCTGAGTCCTACAGCCTCAGAATCCATCGACAAACGAAGACGCCATGGTATCCGTCTCCGCCGCGGCTTCGAAGACGTTCTCGTGACGAATGCACTACCTGCAGACCAATGGGATAGGAAGCACAAAGTTTTTCTTACAGGAAAAGGTCATTCCACCTTTGCAGGCATACTCACTCTGAGAAGTGAGCGGTGGATTGGCGACTTGACAATTATGTGTGCGCTGCTCGTCCAGGGTGCAGTGCCGAAGGTAAAGTTCATTGATGACAGATATGTGGACAGTGTTCTGAAGCAACCACACAACGTTCGAAATCTCCCAGATGATGCCCTGCAGGACGAGAAATTTAATTTGGAGCTGTCTGTGGGTCCAGGGACAGCTTCTGCACAAGAGCCAACATTCTGCGTAGATCTTCTTGAACATCAGAAGCAAGACGATGCGGAACAGCCAGCAAGCACGTGGAGACGGATCATATCTTCGTATCTAAATCCGCAAGCTTAATATTAAATAATATAGATCTTCTTCAACCTTTGTACCTATAAAATATCAGAGGTACCGGACATAAAATTGCAAGGGCGAAAAGAGTCTAGACGAATCCCCTTATTTCCAAGCAAATTTGACATCCGCACGATCCGGAGGCGTGTTCTAGAACGTAGGTGTATTGCAATTCATCTAATATTGTATTTATTTTTATGAGTTTTCCGAGCAAAATTGCGGACTATGGTACTAGCCCTGCAGCGACTTAAACCTTTGCGTATTGAGCCAAATAATGAACGGCTCAGGTTTTCTGTAACGGCATGTTCGCGGCGAGGCCAGATGCAGATAAGTTGTGTGGCTGCTAAGCATGCGAAATCTAGAATTGGCTTGGACTTAAGAATTGTCGTCAAGGTAAAGAGGAATAATTTTGGAAGGGGTTGGGTTGATATTTCTTCTACCAAAATTTTAGGAACCTTGACATAAGGATCATGGGGATATCATTTTGATGTGTCCTTTGTAATGCCGTGTACATTTTTCATTGTGAATAGATTGTGAAAGCCTAGTCGGGCATGCCGAGCCTTTCCTCTAAGTGATGCTGCCTTCAGCCTATAGCAACTTAAGACGTGTAGTTTTGCAGGATCTTGTGAATATCAATCTTATCATTTATCCGTTTAAAACATGAGAGGCCGGTCAAGGCCACTAACAATCTCCTCGATAACGCCTAGGACGTCCAGTCGAACCCCCCATTCACTCACGGCAACATTAAAGAATACTGGCCTTCCTTGCTCCATCGCCGGAAAGTACTTTGATACAAGGAATGACCTATCGTTATTAGAAAGTGATCCAGCGGGATTTTATCGACTAGGTACTTGAAAATTTTCTTGAGAGGATCGTTTCGCAAGGCGAGTAGCATTGAAATTCGCATGTCGTCTTCGTTGACCCAAGAATCCGACCTGTTTGGATATTCCCTCCATACGATTCGGTATTGGGTTGGCGTCTGGCAAGCGGCTGGGTGCGTGTCCCACGCAGTCGAAAACGGTGCTCTTAGGGGATCTCGGGTTGCTTGCTGGCAGAGCCTCGGTGGCTTCCTCGTCGACGACCTCGGCCAAGTCCTGCTGATGACCCTCACCCACAGCTGGCTGCCCGAGCCCTTCCTTCTGTGCTGCAAGCTGCTGCTGCTGCTGCATCGCTATGCCTCCCCCTTCCGTCACCACCACCACCTCACTCTCCCGCTGCTCCCACTCCTCAAGGCCCTGAGCTGGGGCGCCATGTCGACAAACATCTTCCAGCTCTCTGGTCTGCCACCGGTGGTTTCGCTGCGTTCTCGATTCCGGATCTCGTCCTGTGGTGCCTCGACTGAGTGAGGACTTGGCGAGGTTGGTGCGCCGGCGAATGGTGACTTTATTTGCTCCTCTTCCAAAGCCAACCCCAGTTGTTTCTCCAAGATAATACTCTAATATATAATTGATGAAATTTGCAAATAATTATATTAATATCAATTATATTTAAGATAAAATTTAAATATGCCAGATTTTCAAAATCACGAAAAACACAAACAAAATAATTGTAGAATAAGTGTGCGCGATTGACAGGATCTCAGGCCTTATACGAGAGGAACAGACATTACGTGACCGTAAGCCTTACTACTTTTAAATTATGGCCTGAGTATCTGAGGTAAGAAACGGATGTGTTAACCATTTTGTAATAAAGCCCCGTGACTCGTACTAAGGTCATGCTACAGAGGTCGAAACAGCCCACCATATTCTGACTTGTGAGGCTGAATTACTACTATATAAGCTCTTTGACAAGAGGGATCCAAAATCTGCTCCGGCAGGATCTAAAAGGGAGCAGAAACCGATTTACGGGGCAAAATTCGGTAAGGAAACTGTAGCCGGGCACGCAGAAGGCCAAAATGGGTCCTACATTATGATACGCAGGCCCGACTCAAGCGTACTCAGGATGGTCAGGCTCTGCTCAGGCTCTGCTCAGGCTCTGCTCAGGCTCTGCTCAGGCTCTGCTCAGGCTCTGCTCAGGCTCTGCTCAGGCTCTGCTCAGGCTCTGCTCAGGCTCTGCTCAGGCCTGCTCAGGCTTGCTCAGGCTTCCTCAGGCTCTGCTCCGGCATGCTCACCCTCAGCTCAGGTTAAAGCAGCAGTTGCTAACGTCCGCAGACTAAAACGGAACCAGCGAAAGGGAAAATTGATCCTGAGTCTAGGGGTATTAATACTAAGCGAGCTCTTACCGCCTTTCTACCCCGCCATGCCTCACTCCCCTCCTTCCTTACCTTTTCCCTCCTTGTACGACGATTTTCTCCCACAAACGGATTCTAGTGTCTGCTGAAGACGTACCGGTACGGCCACTTGAATAAACTGCTCTTTCGTATTGCTATTGTGCATCTGAGATATTGCTGGCAATTTGAACAGCTCCCATTACTCCCTCAGTGTCAGAATAGCAACATGTAGCAGGCTCGGCAAAAATACCTGAGGCATCGATACCGGTATCGATAGTAGAGGTATTTTTCAGGTATCGCAAGGAATCGATAGTATCGATACCAGAATCGATTCTTACCCCAAAAATTAACTCTTTCTTTTATTATTTAAATTATATAATAATACATTATTAGATAATTCCTTTAATTTCTAGTCTTTCTATTAAAAGAAATACTTACTATTATTAATAAAAGTTAATAATATCTTAAATTTAAAATAGCCCTCGTATTCGGAGAATTAAGCCCCGTATTCGTATTTCTTATCAAGACGCTAAATATATAAGCGAGCCTCACGAAAATCTCAAAAGCTCATTTTTACTTAAAATAGCCGCATTGAGATAAGTTTTGGTCTAAAATATAAGATAAGTAGCTAAATAGAAAGCCTAAATCAAGTAGAATATTTGCGCTACCAAAAGTTTTCTTATAAGAGAAGTGGTTCTAAAGTTAATTGCAATTAAAGGGGGGAATTGGGTTCGGGGAATCGATACCTTACGATTCTGGCATCGATACCGGAAATTAAGGAATTTTTGCCGAGCCTGACATGTAGCAGTAACTTGTGCTCGACCGCGTGGGAAATTCTGCAGACATTCACTGGCACTTGTTCCAGAACCCTCCCAAGCTCTTTTGCCAGCATTTTCGCATCCTCAACACTGATATGAGTCCTAATACTAGGCAATAAACTCCGACCAGAGGACACCCAGCAGCCTTCTGCGTGCCCTTTCCCCGCAGCTCAAATCGACAGATGCTCATCGCAAGATCATTAACATGTTCTGATACCATGAAATATCACGCAATTGCCTCCTTGCCAATACCTTGTAGGCAAAGATTGCAGAACACTGTTCGTAGGTTGATCTCCACTTGCTCGACCTTCGTAAACAACTTTCGCCTGCTTCTCGGAAATAGAAGGAAAAACGTGTGACCTTTAATCTTGGTAACTTTTTGCCCTGTTATCATTAGCTCGCTTGTTGTGATTTCCGATCACGCTCCTTGACAACCTGGTGTAGAATTGTCACTTCACGCTTGACCTCAGCCTATTTCGCCAGATCAAGGTCATTCTCCCACGGCTGTGGCTCATTATTGTCGACCAAGTATGACTCACCTATTATTGTATCGTCAAGAATATTTTGTGAAATGTGTCGACTGGTGGTATTGTCATCGAATTGCCCGGCTTCATCGAGATTGGCGGCCATTGCTGCTTGTGAAGTGAGCCATAAGCAGAGAAATATCATGCAAGTATAAATCTGGAGAACACAGAGCGTATCATCACACCTATCGATAGATATCAGCTTAAACTGTCCGCTCTGGAAGCCAACTCAGAATGCATTCTTATATAAGTAACTTCTTGACCTCTTCAACTAGATCACCTCTGGAGACAAGCTGCCCTCGATCCTTCGAGGCCGTTTCATCGTCACTTTCTCTCAACGTCTTCAACCTGACTTGACCAGCTGCTACTTCGTTCTGACCGAGGATTACGGTAAGGCGTGAACCCTTCGCCGCTATGACCTGCTTATCATATCTTGGCTTCACCTCTGCAGCAAACTCAGCCGATATACCAGCATTCCAGAGTTGGCGAGCCACCGACATGCGTTCGAGCAGAAGTCCGTCTGAATCCTTGCCGCCAAATGCCATGATATATATATCGACCTTGTGTGTTATTTTTTCCTTGGGTCGTGCGTTCAGGATGGTGAAGATGCGGTCCACCCCAAACGATATGCCAACACATGGGATAGGGTTCTTCGCGTACATACCCACCAGAGAGTCGTAGCGCCCTCCTGCGGCAATGCTGCCAACCTGAATGGACTGGCTGTCGCTCTTGCCAGGAACAACGGCGCCATTGCTTCTAGGTGGTTTGATGATGACTTCGAATATCAGACCGGTGTAGTAGTCTAGCCCTCGAGCAAGCGAAAGGTCAAAAGAGACCTTATTAACAGCGTCGAATGCCTCCAGGTAGGAGATAAGAAGACTCATGTCGTCGATGCCCGCCTTCACGTTTTCATTTGCACACAGTCTCGGATCTGACTTGAGAAATCGTAACATCTCGCATATATCACCACTGCGTGTCACGTATTCGCCGATTTGGTCCGCGACCTCGACCGATATGCCTTTCTCACCAACCATCTCTTTCTTGACGTCGGCCCATGTTATCTTGTCTCATTTGTCCACTGCCGAGCTGATGGAGCGTATCTTTTCGTCTGGAACACCTGCAACCGCAAACAAGCCGTCTAGAATCTGTCTGTGATTGACTTTTATAGTTATCTCTAGTTGAAGGGCCTCGAACACCTCAACAATGACGCGAAGTATCTCGGCGTCAGCGATCATGGGGTCGTAGAGGCCCACAATGTCGAAATCGCATTGGTAGAACTCGCGAAGTCTGCCCCGGGCTATCGCTGGCTGGTCTCGCCGGTAGACTTTGGCGATCTGGTAGCGCTTAATCTGGGACACATTGTTCATGGCCAACCAGCGAGCAAATGGAACCGTCAGGTCGAATCGCAAAGAGCACATTTCACCACCTTGGTCGACCAGATCGTACATGAGACGCGCATCCTCGCCGTACTTTTCCACGAGAATGGCTTTGAGCTCGAAGACAGGTGTATCTAGGGAAATGCCGCCGTGGCGTTTTAACACGTCGCTGGCCGTCTGACTGTTAATGAGTTAGACAGAACATTCGAACATGGCCTCCATCTCGTCTCCCACTCACAATACATGGTCACGCAGTATCAGATCTGAGCTCGTCCAGTCACGAGTGCCTTTGGGGGTCTTTAGCTGGGCGCCTGGACGGGCAGGTATCTTGACGTCCTTGGTCGCCATGTTGTTCAATATAAAGCTGTGATAGTTTTTGTTGTGTGCACAAGAGGAGTGTCATCTCTACCATGACTCATTATAGACCAATCACATTTGCGTAAGCGTACTGCAGAGACAGACCGTGAGCTTTGAGGCATTAACAAAAGGTTAGGAGGTACATACTGGTAGTCTCTATGCAGTCCCTAAGCAGTCCCTAAGGCACCAGGGGTTCGGTTCCTGACAGACGATTCGGGGAGATCGAAATTTGATTGCTGTGGTTTGGCTGTTCATCCAGCCAGAAGGTGTCACTCACCAATCACCCACACCCCTTCCCGCTCAACTTGGATTTTGGAGACCTTAACGCTACAAATTCGAAGAATGAACATGATATTCACAATATTTCGAGTATTTCGAGTATTCTCTATAATCTGGAAGGTTTTTAGAATCTTTCAAAGACTTTGAAAAATCGAGAGAGAAAAATTAGTGGGGTAGGCGTGGGCGGGAAGGGGGTTTGAGCGGTTGGTGGGTGACCCCTTCTAATTGGCGGCATCATTGCAACTCGTGCACTGAAACGTTGCGACGTCTTCCTCCTGGACATCCATCGTCACTCTCTCGAATGCCCAATCTTCAACTCTCAGCTCCACGCCTTTCCCAGCAGTACTGTACACCCAAAATTCTGCCGAGTGGCTGACTGTCTGCAGAGTTTCTACCTAAGTTCAAGCATACTTGTAGCGCGCGAAAGGTACTAGGAGCTCAGATGACCTAGCAAAAGCTTCCCACGGGAGCCCTGCAGCTCGCTAGAAAAAGTGACCTTCGTCCACCAACCAACGATTTCCACTTCGCAATATTTCGTCCACACCAATCATTCCGGGGCATCTCTTTCGTGATGAACAATGCTGCAGATGTTTCATCTGACGGGCGATTAATTGGGTTCCAAACGATTCATGCGACATTTGTTTAATATTCGCAGCATGCCCTTGCACCCTTTCGCTTGAAAAGCTGATATGTCTACTCGGCCATCCAGCGCCGTCTGCTTTCAGAGGGAGTCCCGACCCCAGTTCCTAGATTTCTCGCCCGTTGCTCGTTGCTTCATTGGATCCTGTAGGTCCACTTGTTGGCAGAGCTAGTGTACTGTGTAAAGTCACATTTCCTCCGCCTTCCACCGCATCGTCCTGATCCCCAGGTATATGCATCTTGTGGGTGTTGTTTTTAACCGCGCAGGCATACATAAACCATCGCCCACCACCAGCAACTTGGTGAAGTGCACCAACATGTGACTTCAAGCTCGCCCCGGGCGTGCTTTGCTAATGTTCTCAGAGCAGAGTTGCATGCAACTCATGTATAAGGGCCCGCACCCGACCTTAGTAGGTTTTGTGTCTGCCGCATTTTTTTTGTGTTTTCTCGAGATCTTGGCATCTAACGCGACTGTCTTAATCGCTCAATTGAATTCCTCTGCTTTTTTTTGTACCATTTCCCCACATGAGTTTCACCGGACAAAACAGGCGGGCCTGGGCGAATTACGGTTCCTCATACACAAACCAAGACTTGCTTCCTGAGGACCTTTACTATGGCAATCTCCCAAAAGTATCTGCTGCTGGTCAGCTAGGAAAACGTATGAGGAGCAATTCAGATGAGGACTCCATTTTACGAATGTCGCAAGTCCAGGCCTGGCTAAAGGATCAGGCGACTGTAGAAGACTTTGAAAAGATATGGCGGATTTTCTTAGGTATGCCCATATCCAAGGTCTTGAATTCTCCACTATAGTGGTACATTTTTGCTCTTCCCACTCACACTGACTCCACGGCAGATTCCACAGCCTCATCATCTACTCATGCCTATGGAGGCACGGATCCGTCGTATCAAGGAAATCCACATCTCAAAGCCATTGACCCAATGGCCAATGATCCGGCCCAGTCCTCGATTTCAGCGGACTCGGTATTTACCCCTGGATTGGGTTTATCAGGAGCCTTCGGCCAAAACCAGAATTGTATTGACCCAACGAGCTTCACTATGGATTACGATATGAACTCATCCGCTGGACAAACATCCACCCTCTCTATGGTGTCGCCAAGTGAACCCTTCTACTCAGATCCCCCATCTCGGCCTAGAGCCCCTTTACGTTCGGAACCTTCCGATAATAATGCTGTTGCAAGGGCAACCTTGATGCTTAGACCATCATCCGTCAGGAGCAAGCAGGACAGAACTCGCGACTCGGTACAGTCCACCAGCTCGTACAGCCCGATGAATTCGGATATGAGCACGAAGTGGAGCTCAAAGTGTTCTTCCACTTCATCGTTTGGAGGCCAGTCAGTTTCGTCGTTCAGAAAGCCTTCCCAGAAGCCGATGCATTTGTCGGTAAAGAAACCCCATAGTCGCTCATCCTCCATTAGCCGAGCCTCCAACTCTATCCCATCTTCTGACATCCCATGTACCGACCCTGACTGCTCAAAAACATTTACAAGGGACCCAGACCGCAAAAGGCACGAGTCTTCATTCCATAAGAACAAGGTCGGGTACACCTGTCTTCTACACACGTGCGCAGCATCTTGCCCGGAGCCCTGCACGGACAAAATCCATAAGTCGTCGTACTATAATGCTCGACCCGACAAGATGAAAGAGCATCTCGAAAAGGTGCACGGTTGGAGACTCAAGCAGAGCGAGATCCCAGAGGAGTTTCGGCACTCCTATGAGTGGCAGCAAAGGGGCTGGGTATGCAGCTACTGTTGGGAGGATATAGGGAGCTGGCACGATGATCGCGATAAGATTGCTGCGCATCATCGGATTTGTAGGCAGGGTTGCAGGCTTTGCTCAAGAGAATGAGTGTTGAGGTAGGAATAGATGAAGCGAGGGAGGGCGAAGATATGGAGAAGGGGTGGTCTCTACTTGGTGGCCAAGAGGATCAGAGATTTTTTTAGATGAGATGAATATCACAACTTGAGCTGGTTCTCATACCTCGCAGCGTACTTGATTTCTCAGGACTAGTTCAGGCTCTGCTCAGGTTTGCTCAGGCTCGGCACAGGTAAAAGCGGCCGCTGCTCACATCAGAGATTGAAACGGAAGCGGCGAAGATGGGATTAGAGTCTTACTTTCCTGGTAATCCGACACGAAAACTTCTCAACTTCGCTTTAAACGCGGTTAGTCAGCGTCGCCGCTCTGCTCAGGCGCTACTTACCCTCGCCTTACCCTCTGCTCAGGTTGCTTAGTCACGTTCTTGCTCTCCCTTCTAGTAACTAGTTATAACCTGCTTACTATTTGGTTCTGCCGCGTGAAAGTTATTAACTCTATACGAATATATTTAAGGGAGCAAAGTCGGCTCCTAGGGAGCCCAAATAGGATCTCCCTAAAATATATATTTCTTAATCTCTCTAAGCAAGTTCTTCTCACATAGCGTGGCCCTGGCTCTTTTCTATAGAAAATATTGCCCTTATATTACTCTCTTCCTTCTTCTTACTAGACTTACTTACCTTCAAATTTGCTTATTTATTATTTACTCGCTTTATTTTATTATTTAGCTATTTTAATTAATAGAGATGAGTTAGCTAAAGAACTTCAAAGGGAACTTTAAAGGGTTCTTAAAAGAACTTAATAAAAAGAATTCGAGAAAAATAAAAAATAAATTAATAGCTTTAAAATTAACTCATTTTCTAAATAAGACTTAATATACTTATATAAAGCAAATAGCTAATTAATATTAATGAGTTATATTTTCTTAATTATATATAGCTTTTAATTAATTAAAGAAAAGTTTAATATAAGTATTAATTTTAATTTTAAGTTACTAAAAGAATTCAGATAATTAAAATAAGCTTTCTTTTTTATATTAAATAAATATATTATAAAATAATTAGTTCTTAATATATTAATTAATATTACTTTTAAATAATTAAAAGAAATTTAATAAAATAATATTAAAAAGAAATATTAAAAAGAAATATTTAATAATTATTTCAAATCATATATTTTTTTATATAGTTTATAAAATCTCTAGCTTTAGTATAATTCTAAATATATAAATTCAAAATTCAAAATTAAAGTTATTTATTTTTATTGGTTTACTAGTAATATATAGTACCGTTATATAGGTATAGAAATACTAGTTATATTAGTTAGTAAAGTTATTATTTAGAAGTAAGGATTATAGTATTATAATATTAATATATAATTCCTAAATCTGCTAAGCCTAAAGGGGTCTAGTCTACTAGTCAAGTTACTAATAGAATACAAGGTTATATAACTATATCCTGTATCCCATATCCTATATCCCGTAACTATATATATAATATGCAAGGTTACATAACTATATCCCGTATTTCATATCCTATTACCCATATCCCATTATCTATATTCCGTATCCCATATCCCATAACTATACACGTAACTCCTAAAGAAATAGCTATACTAATACTAGAAACTCTCTAAAAACACGAAAAATAATATCTCCCTCCAATTACATACAAATTCCCTAATCCGGCCTAGTGCCAGATTTCCCAAATACTCTATATATTCATATTATTTCTGAGGTTTTAGTTATATACTAAAGGCTATAGCCTTTTATATATAACTTTCTCTCTTATAATATCCTTCTATCCCATATATTTATTTCCCGCCCTATTTATACTTAACCCATTCCTCTATATCTAATTATATAGTATTTATATTAATTAGGTATTTAAGGGCATTTATTAGCTTTAATTTTATTATGGAATTAGCAGAATTCGATTTTCCCTTAATCTATTTAATTTCTGTAATCTCTTATTATTTATATACCTAGTAAAGGCATATTATATTAATTATTAGATACTTTTCTTAAGTAGTTCCTAATTTAATAAGGCATTTATATAACAACTTCAAATTTATATAAACTATTAGTAGTAATTCTATTTCTAGTACTCTATTAATTATAAATTTAACTAAAGCACCTATATTAAAGCTATAAGCTATATTATAGAGTTCCGAAGCTAGAACGCTTCTAGTAACTCTCTTATATTTAGTAAAGAACTAGTAAATAATATTAGTATATCTAGTTCCGTTTACTAGAACTAGAATATATCTAATTTAGGAAAAGAGATCTCTATTATTTATAAATAAAATATTCGTAAAAATAATTAAATATAAGAACTTCTTTACTAGCTTTACGAATCTCAATCCTCTAGTAATATTCTTAATTTGCTATTAAATACACTTATTAAGTGCCTTTATATTAGTTTCTGAGAATTTAATAGCTTAAGTAATAATTAATAAGTTATATAAAGCTTCTAGTTAATAGACTAATATAATATATACTTCTCTAGTATATTAGGTAATATATTAGTTCTTAATAAAGAAATCTTAATAAATAGTACTTCTACTACTTATAGTAATAATATTTTTTATAGAAATAGTTCGGAGGTTTTTATACTAATATTCCTATATAAAAGTAATTCTAGTAATATTTATATAGATAATATCTCTATTAAACTTGAAATTATAATTAATAATAAAGCATTTATATTTCTTAGCTAAGAACTTAGCCTCTTAAAGCTTTAGTTACTCTATTTTTACAAAATTATTAGTTCTAATAAATAAGGTATTATTAGTTTAAAGGCTAATAATTCTAAAGAATTACTTGCTATAGAGAAGGCAAGAATTATAAGTTAACTATTTTATAGAAAGCTCATTAATATAATAGAAATAATAAGTTTTAAACTAGTAGTTTCTAGTTTCTAATATATTATATAGTAGTTTTATAACCTTTAGAATCAAATTATTATTTAGATTTAGCTCTCTAGTAAGCTTGCAAGATAAGTTAATATAAAAATTATAGTTAAATAAGATTATTAATTAGATATAAGCTTATAAGATATTACGTAAATATAGTTTCGTAATATCTATTATTATAATAGTAATACTAAGAATAATTCTCTAGCTAATATATTAAATAATAGGTAATTATATTAATATTATATATTTCTTATTATTATTATAAGCCTAGATAACTAGTCTCGATTTCTTAAGCTCTCTCTCTATATTCTTATTCTTAATCTTATTAATAAACCGGAAGTTAAAAATATATATTTCCTTTAGTACTTAAGATCTAGAAATAACCTTAAATATACTTTTTTCTAGGAAGCTAATAATTTTAACTTAATAGAAGTTCTTATATAGGTTATTATCTTATAAGAATACTATAATATCCGGATTCTTGCAAAAATATTCTCTACTATACTTTAGTGAAATAGCGGAAATAGTAAGAGAAATCATACCTATATTACCTTTAGCCTTACTATAAAGTTCGGGAATAAATTCAGATTCGGGGCTATTAGTAATAACCTTAATATCCCCTATATAAAAGGGCTTTATAAAGGTTAAGTAAAAGGTAATATTACTATATAATAAAGCTAGTATATAGTTCTCCCTATTAATAGCTACTAGCTTATATAGCTTATTCTAATTACTAAATTAACCGGTATTTCCTTTATATTATATAAGAATATCCGAATTTAAAAAAAATTCGTAAATATTAGTAATACTAGAACTATTTCGGGTATTTAGGGCATTTATAATCTAGTATCTAGCTTAAAGCTTCTGAATTTCTATTATTACCTTCTTAAATATTACTAATTACTATAATATAATTAGTAATAAGGTATTATATTTAATTATTCGAAATAAAATACTATAAACTAAAAGAATTAGAATAATACTATCGAGTCTAGCGGAATTATTAATAGCCTTAAAAGCTATTTAGAGTATAATATCCTTATTAATTCTATTAATTTTAGTTATAATAATAAGGTAAATATATTAAATTAGGCTATAGTAATATTCTATAATTCTAATAGAACTATAAACTTCTATAGAAATAATTATAACCTTAGTTCTTATAGTATTTATAAGCTAAGTAAACTTCTTACTAGTAAACTACTTTCTGGTATCTACTATAATCTAATTAGAAGGGCCTAAATAAGTATTAATTTAATACTACTTTAGGATATCTCAAATATATAATATACTAATATTTTAAAGCTATTAGCCGGCTTAATATCTAGTACCTTTATTAAATAATATAGAGTATAGGCTTACCGGAAATATAGAAAATATTAATAATAATAAAGTAATTAAAGCTAATATTATCTCTTAGATTAAACTTAAATTATTCTAGTAATTATCCAAATTTCTAGTATTACTTATAATACTTTATAAAATACTTAAAGGCTTTTATATTAATATTATAGCCTATTTATTCTAGTATATTTTAAAGTTTACTAATAAATAAATAACTAAAATAGTAATATAAATATTATAATTTAATCTCTATAAGAAAGCAGAAATTATAAGTAAAGAATTCGGAAATAAAGCTTTATAGAATAATATTTCAAAGCAAAAAAAAGTATCTAAAACATTATACTATAGATATAAAGCATCTATTAGAAATAATAAAATAATTAGTAAAATTATTAAAGTAGACTTCTAGCTTATCTATATTAGCTAAGCTAAGTAAAAATAAAGTTTTTATAAGTATAATATGGAATTATACTTATCTAATTAGTATTCTTACTATTATAGATCTAATACTAAACTAGATATTAACTTAACCTTTAGTAATTTTATTAAGTTAAATACTATTATTAGTTTACTATAAAGCTTGGAATTAGTTAGAACTAGTAGTTGAGAATCTAGAGGCTCCGGTATTAATTATAATTCCATAAAAGTAATAAGTATTATATCTTAATATATTATTAATTATAAATATCTAGATATCTTCTATTTATTTAATAGACTCTAAAATATAGTTTTTGCCTATTATCTAGTATATAAGGGAAAAGAATATAAGATTATTTATAAAAATATTAGTTATAGAAATAATAGAAGCGGGAGCTATAGAAGTAGCTAG